TAGTATGAGACAGCCAAAACAAACCCAGCCCATTGACCTGGTTCTGTGTCCCGCAGGAGCCTGCAGAGCTCCCAGCCTGTCCCGCTCTGCACAAGCCCCCCGGTACCCCCAGAGGTCCGGCTCGGCTCTGGGCCCATGGGAGGCTGTGAGCGGTGCCGTGGGGAGGCTCCGCTCTGCCCCAGGCTCACCTCTGCCCTCAGCAGCCGTGGCCCCACCGGGCTGCTCCTTGGCTCCTGCTCCCCCTTCCGAGACAGCCCCGTCCTTGGGGATCCCGGCCCCGTCAGAGCCGGCTCCTGACGAGAACTCAGCGTTGAAGCTGCCTTTCCGTGTCCGAGTGAAGGGGGACCTGGGGGTGGAAAGAGGGGGAAATGGGAATGTCTGGATGGGAGAGGAGGCAGGACACTTGGAAACCTTATTCATGGTGCCATCCACTTGTCCTGGGATTCCTCTCTTAAACACTACATAGCCTGTCTCATCCATGGGATGCGGGTATTCCCAGCTGGTCCAGCCCCAGCTTTCCCCTGCCTTCAGGCACGCTGGGAGGTTGTGACAGCGAAGATGAGTATAAAGCAGGGCTGGTTCCCCCTCTCCCTTCCTACCAGGCGTTGTGTGACACGTAGGGCTCGAAGTCGTACTGGGTGTCGGGCTCGTCGCCGCGCTGCAGCTGCCTGACGTGCGAGGCGTACTGCTGCCCCGGGTCGTAGAGCTTGCTGCTCTCGCACAGCGTCTGGAAGTTGACGGGCAGCGGCGCCGTCTGCATGTGCATGATCTGGTAGAAGGAGATTGTGGCCTAAAGATAACGGAGAGAAAGTGAGAGGTGAGCTTTGTGAGCTGACACACGTGGAGCCTCAGGGCAGCTTCCAGTGTCTGAAGGGGGCTACAAGGATGCTGGAGAGGGACCTTCATCAGGGACTGGAGCGACAGGACAAGGGGTGATGGGTTCAAACTGAAACAGGGGAAGTTCAGGTTGGAGATAAGGAAGAAGTTCTTTACTATGAGGGTGGTGAGGTGCTGGCACAGGGTGCCCAGAGAAGTGGTGAATCAAGGCCAGGCTGGACAGAGCCTTGGGCTACATGGTCTAGGGCGATGCATCCCTGCCCATGGCAGGGGTTGGAACTGCATGATCCTTTCCAACCCAAACCATTCTATGATTCTACGGAGGAGATGGGAAATCAGGAGCATGGAGCAGCACTTGGTCTGCAGGCTTGAGCCTTGGCTTTTCAGAGCACAGGGGAATGAAAAGAGGTCTCTATCCACCCAGACCTCATCTGAAACAGGGGCAGCCAAGCCAGGTCTGCTGGGGAGGCAGCTCTGACCCTCTCCTGTGCAGGGTACGGCCACTTCTCATCCTGGGGCTGAACCAAGTGAGCTCCACTCACCAGCTTGATGACCTGGTCACTCTGCTTGATCATTTCATGGATCTGGCGCAAGGAGTTCACCTTGGTGTCCTCCAGCTCCTGCTTCTGCGTGTTCGCATCCGCAACACAGGTCCGATACGTGGCCATGGCCTCTTCCGCCTGCGAGGTGGGAGAGCAAGAGGTGGAAACAGGTCACGGGTGCGGAGAACAAGGAGGAAGAACATCTCTGGAGAGCAGCTCTCTGCCCTTGGACCCCTCTGGGCATTAAAAAATCTGCGAGAGGACAGCAAGGGGCGAGAAGGCTCTTGCCAGGCAGATGCTCAGCCCGTATCCAGAGCTCACATTCCCACCTTGTTCTTGGCTTCCTCTTCCAGACGCCTCTTCTTGTCCAGGGTTTTGGTGGTGATGCTGCTGGTGGTGCTTTGCTGGTCTTCTTCTGCTTTCACTGCCATGTACTTGGCCTTGTCATGCTCCTCGCTGCGCTGCATGTAGGTCTGCTTGGCCTTGCGCAGGTTCGCCTCTGCCTCTTGCTGCCAGCAAAACAGCAACCCATGGTGAGGACTGCACTGTGCAAGGGGTTCTTATCTCCTGCAAGCCCCCCACGTTCCTCTGGTGCCCCCCAGCCAAGCAGGACAAAGCACCCAACGCTGCTGGAGAGGGGCAGAGTGCAGCATCCTCAGAGGGGTACTTGCCGTGGGGTGCTCCAGACCAGCCTAAGGAGCACAAACCCAGTCCTGTCACTCACCAGCTTCCTCTGCGCCCGGTGCCACTGCTCCTTGATCTCCTTCCTCCTCTTCTCGTGTTCCAGGCGTCTCGTTAAGAGCGGCTGAATCAGGGAGAAACGGCCCCACGTTGGTCTGAGCTGCTCTTCCCTTTGCAAAAGGCTTTGCAGGGAGAAGTGCCCTGTGGTGGTCGTTGTTCCCCGGCACATCCAGGCTCTGACACGGAGGGGTTTGTGTCCTGGGTGGAAACCACCCTCTGCATGGACAGGACCATTCCCTCCCTGGCAAACGGCTGTTCCCGGGACATTGGTGCAGCAGGGAGGGGGACGTGGGAATGCACCTTGGATGAGGTGGAGGTCAGTAAGGTGCTGATTCATTTGAGGGGGGTTTCTCCTAGACCCTGTTTTCTAACCCCTCAAAGCACCCAGCAACTGGCTGAGAGCTTGGGCAAGACCCTTCTGAGACGGGTTCCCTCACCTGGAGGAAGGTTTGTTGCTGAAGGGTGTTGGCAGCCTGCAGAACCGACGTGCCGTGCTCCATGTCCTGCTCCAGGGTCAGCAGGTAGATGGACAGGAAGGGCATGTTGGCCTGAGAGAGGAGAAAAGGCACCACCCTGAGCCCAGCACCGTGAACCGAAGCATCCTCCAGCGCTGCCTTCGGGGACGAAGAGCCAGAGGTGCCTTTGGGGCCACGTGGACTTTACCTCCTGGCTGAAGGTTTGCTTGCAGCTATTGGCCATCTTCTGAAACCCTTTGGCAAACTCCATCTCTGGAAGAAAAGGTTGGAAGTGAGAAGACATCCGGGACACCAGGATCTCCCTGTTGGCTGGGTTCCGGGAGGACATTCACCACGGCCCTCACAGCATCGCTGACCATAAAGGACCTCTGATGCTGCCGTGAGGGGCTCTGCCCCACTCCGGAGAGCACCCCCCCGCTGCCCTCCCTGCCTCACCCAGCGTGGTCCTTTTCTCCAGGTATCCAATGAGGTCCTTCATGTACTTGGAGATGTTCTTGGCGTACTGGAGGGCAGCGTCCACCCCCCCCTCGCAGCGCTGCAGCAGCACGTCCACTTCCTCGGCAGGGGGACGGCCTGTGATGGGGCGAGGGGG